ATATATTAGTTATATTTGTTTATATTACATTTCTTTATGTATCTATATTATATAATTTATGTTTGTTTAATGTAAATGCAAGCTTGGATTATAAGCATTTTTCTAAGCTTAGTCCAGTAACCAACATAGGATATTATGATGATTAGCCTTATCTCAACAGTGGAAGCCTTATACGTATACTGATTTACTGTGGTAACTATGAGAGCAGCTGAATGACTTACCATTAGCTTAGGTGTGTTAAAGCCCTTATAAAACAAAGTCACAATGATAGCATTACCTTTTACTGGAAATTACTTATATTTTTAGATGAATGATATACGGGGCTATGTTAAGCCATATTATAAGAAGAGGGTGTTACAATAGTTTGGTTATGTATAGGCCATTCCTTTGACCCTTCAAGCTCTATGTCGAGCCAACTGTGGAGTATCCTTCATACATATGAGTTGGCATATAATTTTTTACATCAATTTTGGGATTGATTGACATGCGTATTCTGCCTGTCGATCATTAAAGGCATCGATTTGCTGTATTAGGCGAGTTTTCACTCGATTATGATGCTTGGTATACACCAGTTTCTCATTGGTACATTCAAATTTGGGGCATATATCCAAATTTAAGTCTACCACGGTCGCCTCAATCATCTCAGTCTTTAATAGGTCTACTAGAGATACGGTAAGTTATAGCTTTAGTATTAGTTACTTATACAATATACCCAATTACATGTTTTGGATATTGATTTTTCTTGTTATAATTCTGTAAGTGAGATCGTAAGCATTAGCAGTTCTTCATACTACTATTTCTAGTGGTTTACAATAGGGATTGGATGTATGGAGAAATGCAGTTTTTAAAACACATGCCATCTTGTTTGAGTTGCATACATCGATTCTTAGATCATATTTGATTCTAGTGCCTAACCTATTCACTACCGACCTCCAACCTCGATGACATCATAACCCAATTCCTTTCGATTCCCACCTCTGGCATTGAAGGCAACATCGCCCAATTCCTCGCGTATCTCATCTCTAGCATCAATAGGAGCGCTACTTGATTCCTCGCGTTTCTCACCTATAGCATGGATAGCAGCACCGTCTAATCCACCAACATCAAATTTAGCCTCACTTGGTGCATTTGCTTCATCACATTATATATATATAATATATATTCAAACTAAGAGACCCAAGGTTTAGGGAGTAGGATTTCATTATTGTAAAACTCCAACGTACGTTATGTTATTGTAATTATCATTTCGTATGATTACTTTACATTTTTTATTATTCATTTATGTTGGCATATATGATATTTGATATATAACATATGTGTTAGAGAAGTTGCTAAATATAAAACATTAAATAAAACATCTTAATAAATACAAAATATTCATTTAAATTCATCAATCAATTTTAATTGTTTCTTGGGTGGCTACATTAGAATTTTTGCTAAATAAAAACCTAAAATCCTCTATATGTGATACATATGAAGCGTCTCATCCTCAAGCACACTCATATTGAAGCTTCCGTCAATTGCATACAATAGAGCTATTGGTGAAAACGATTTCATGAACATTTACACAAAATAAATAGATATGATAAGTATCAAGATATGATATATATCAATTATAATGTGATTATAAATAATAAAAATGATAAATATAAAATCCAATAAATGGTACCTGCACAAAATGATAATATTTACAAATTAATCGTAATGACTTTGTGTTTCAATGATGCAGGTGGTATAGATCTAATGGGAGATAGGTCAAACATTGTTTCAAATTGATATGAACTAGTATGATATTATGTCGTGAGGAAATCAAATGACCCATATCAAGTAAGGTCATCTATCGTTTGAGGCACAAATGTCAAAAGACAATACTATTTCTACCAATTTCTCAACACGTTCAATGAATTCATACAATGTGACATATTTGCCTTGATATCGAATCAACCTATTAATTAAATCTTGTTGCACTTATACCCAATCATTTATACCTAATCCAAATAGTCTAGCAATAAAACAAAAATCACAATGTCCATTTGCCTTAATATCGATAATAGTCTGTATATATGGATGTAATTCCATTGGAAAACTAGATAAATATCGTATTTTTTGTTCACCACATGAATGTTGAACAAGAAGTTTATCGATCTATGTCGTCATTTTCATTAAATTCATAGTGGTTGGTGATGATGTACTATCTATGTAGATAACATAATCTCCCACTATAAGGGGTCGCATTGAATAGATTTATTTGTTTTAATTACTCTGTGACCTTTTATCTTAGTAATCTCTAATGGTGGAATCAAGCACTCAACCTCGGATGTAATAGTCAACTCTTTTGATATGACATTCACTTGTTTCTTCATTAAATCCAATTTCTTTCAATAAGAATGCACTTTAGATAAAAAAATTAGACTTCCCACTGTATGTGCTCTGCAATCTCATTAGCATAAGGTAATCCGTGTGCATTGATAATGCAACCACAACATTGCTTGTTAATCTCAATTTGATTTGCTCACTTTACTTCCATGAATATCATATTGAGTGTGCTTCTAAAAACCAAACCTCTCAACTCTTTAAACAAAAAAACTTATAAGCATGCTCGACACTTATAATATTTTTATCAAATAAAGCCTTTATCTTTGTATGTTGCAGCTCAATAAAACCGTTAATTATACTCCATAATGATTTAAAATCTCTTTACGATGATCTAATGTGTTTCTAAAATTTTGAATGTGTATTCTTAGCCCTAAACAAATTAATAAAGGTATATTAGAATGAAGATCTTGTTATGAATGCAAATCTAAATAATCTTAATAAAAAATTATACTATATCATACCTATTTATTATAATATTTTCAAAGTGCATTACTTTATTTGTCTAAATAACAAGAAATCTCTCATTATGTTTTGTTAACCATTGCTCTTTGACATACTTAATTGCATCTGGATAAGTCTAGTAATCAATTTTCGATAAATTTATATGCCTTTTGTACTTATAATGGGTAGAAGAGAACACAAGGATATTCCAACTTGACATGAATGCCTCTCACTTCTACTTTTGCTAAAAAAACTTCTTATAATTTATGAATATGTTTCTTAAGATATGAAATTTGTACAGAAGATTTTTTATGCTCGAAAGCATAGTATGCATTGCATTCATCAAAGCCAAATCTCTATTGGTAATAATGACATTAGAAAATGTACCATAAAGTATCAAACTTTTTAACCTAAACAATGCCTAACTGTAGTTGTAATAGCGCTTGACCTTCATGTACATAAATGCAATAGAAAATGTTATCTCAATAGAAGTTACACCAATAATCTTTAGCAAAGGGAGACATATTTGTTTTATAGGTGCAATCTATAGTCAAAACACTTAAAAAGGCATGCAACAAATTTATACCAGTAGGGTGAGCCAAAAACAAGTCTTTCACATAGTTTCTTAACTCGTTAGTCCTACGCTACTCTACATATTTACAATCAAACAACCTTTATATGGCTTGTTGCATTTGTGATCTATTAGCTTTCTCAATATATTTGTTTCTCCAACATTTGTTATATATAGTCTTTTATAGTGCTGACATTCTTTTCATCATGTTATTTTATGGTCAATAATATGTTTTTGGTTTGACCATATTGTTTGACATATCAACCATTATTGGCTTTTCTTTGTTAGATAATTGATTTGTAAATGAATTTCTTTCTAATTATTTTGCAAGTAGGTTATTTTGAAATTCATAGACTACCTTCACACCCCATTTATTATCATTTGCCAATTTAAACCCATATAACTGAAATAGATGATCACACTTCTTGTTTTCGTTCCCTTACGTTTCATTTTTTTTTACATTTGTCTTATTCTTTTGTTGCCTATATTTTCCACTACGTTCACATGTGAATTAGATTCTAGCTTTTCTACTCAAACCTCATAAATTAGAGTTTTTAATCACTACCACAAAATCAATATCTTTTTCCATCTATCTTGCCCAAGAAATCAATAATTTCTTACTATAAAACAATTGCACAACAATTTAAATTCTCATATTTTATATCTATATAAACTAACATTAAAAACAAATCTTTACGCCTCCCAAAGTTGACTTCACAAACATAAATGTACCTCTTCAGTAATAAATGAAGAACTACAATCATATATGATATTTAAATTCTTTGGTGATTCAATCTAGTCTATCATTGCATTTCCTAAATTATTCTACATGTTAATCAAATAAAATCAAAATTATGAAAAAAAATTACTTTTGAAAATGCATTTCCAAATCATTACATTGTTTTTTGAAAATACATTTCCCGTACATTGAAGAAGTTTTCAAAAATAAAATTTTCTTTACTTTTGAAAATAATTTTTTAATAAATAGCTTACTTTTTCGAAAATAAATTTTTGGTAAATATTAAGTCATTCCAAATATGTATGTCTGGCTATATTCATATTCTTTTGAAATTTCTTTTTCGATAAAGCCTATCGGATACATAATGATAATTTTAAAAATCAATTTTTGAAAACTCAATATAGTTTTAGAAAAAGCATTTATGAAAAGTTCAAATGTAGGGATAAAATCAACTTACACAATTGTCATCCCTCAATTCTTCGTTACTGTAATTGTTTCTCTCAAATTCATTTTTTATTTTGACAGTATATAAGATATTACAAATTTTAATTGTGAATTTTGATAATAAATTAACTTTTTGTTAGAAAAAAAAAAAAACACCAAACATGTTTTTAAAAAAGAGAAACTAAAAGAGAAGAAAAAGATATGAAAAATAAAAAAATAATTTACTAATGAATATTTAAATAATTTTATTAAATATTAAATTTGTAATAAGATTTTTAAGGCGTATTAAATAATTTTTGGGTGCCAATAGAACCCATCTTAAATGAATTCCTACCCTTGAAAGAATAAAATTACCCAATTACCCAAAACATTTTCATATATAAAAGGGATGAGGAGCGTGAAGAGCAATGCAGCTGAGATCTAGCGTAACAAATCCAGCAGTGTAAAAATGTCTCTTTCCATTCGACTTTGCATCCCACTCCAACGGATCAGCGAGTGTGGTTTTTTAAATTATTATTTAAAAACTGTTTCTTTTTCTTCTTATTCTTCTTCGACGACTGCTAAAACATTTCTGAATCTGAATCCAAATTCATCGAAAGATTAGGGCTTTAATTTCGCCCAGTCTCAATGGACAAAATCAGAAGAGCTTCGCATGCAGGATCTTGGTACACTGATAACCGTAAGTGCTTTAACTCGCTTTACTTCTCTTTTCTTTGCTTCCTCCGAAACCCTACAATTTTCATAATCTAATTTTGGTTCATGTTTTTGGTTGCCTTTTACGGATGATCAAGTCGAAAACTAAAATATGGTTTAGTTGGAAAGAAAAATAAAACAATGTCAATTAAAGTAGTGTTAAATGAAAATTTTAATGATTAAGTGTTGAATGTAGAATAATTCAATGGACTGATCTTCTGAAGTTGAAAAGATTAATAATTTCAACTTGTATTTTTGAAAGGCTTTAGGTAAATGTAGCGTACTACTTTTGCAATTCTAACTTCTAAGGAAGCAAACATTTTGAAAAGAAATATATATATTTTTAATATTTTAGAATTTGAACATAAAATGGCTTAGGAAAGAGTCATACTGATTTTCCTTAATTGTTTCAGTTAATTTACATCTTGATTTCTACATGTATAATATTTTCTCAGCAAAAAAATTAGCGGAAGAGCTTGATGGATGGATCAGGGCGGCTGGTTTGGCTAAATCTTCTGATGTAAGAGGTGTAATTGCTCCGTAAGTTGTTCTGTTACCTCATTGCTTGTTTCTCTTCTAACATAAACTAAAATTTTAATGTATTCTCTTGTTTCTGTTTTGATGGTGGCTTGGAAAATTCAGGCATGCTGGTTATTCATATTCAGGTCGTGCTGCTGCCTATGCTTTTGGAAACATAGATCCAACAAACATGTGCGTCTTTTTATCATATTTCTGCTCTTTTAATTGCTATAGTTTATAGTTTAATATCACATTGTGTCTCTGGAAATACCCTCATTGTTTTTTTAATCATTACTCATAGTGTGAGCCAAATTTGTCAAATATTGTGTACTGACTGCTCTCTGAACATTATGGTATTTGAATGAAAACAAATTACTTCATCTGCTTCTATTATGGTTAAAACATACTGATATGTGTGAAAATTTACAATTTCAGTTCTCGGGTATTCCTTCTTGGTCCATCTCACCATTATTACACTCCAAAATGTGCTCTGTCAACAGCTACAGTTTACAAGACACCAATAGGGGACCTACCTATTGACTTGGAAGGTGAAGGGATTTTTTCTTCTTGACTTTCATGTCAGATTAGCTTTGTTGTCAAGTCAAATATGATTTTTTATATATCTTATTGAGCTGATTGACTGCGGTTTTTTGTTTTTAGTCTTGTTTTTTCTTTTCCCTCTTGGTTGAGACATATAGCTTGTGAAATGGCTTTTTTGTTTGAGTGTTTACTATATATATATATATATATATATATATTTAATCCTAAAGCCCTTTTTGTCCACTTTGTGTTTTAATGGTCCCTAACACATAATTTAAGTAGAGTCATATTTGTTTCATCTTTCAGTCATTGAAGAGCTGAAAGCTACAGGAAAATTTGAATTGATGGATCTTCGAGTTGATGAAGCTGAGCATAGCATGGAAATGCATTTGCCTTATATTGCAAAAGTATTTGACGGGTAATTTTTGTCCATATATTAAACAAGGTTCTACACTTGGTTCTAATTGAAGCTGATTTTGCATGATGTTAATATAGGCATCCAGTGAAAGTTGTACCTATTTTGGTTGGTGCTCTTAGCGCTGAAAATGAAGCAATGTATGGAAAGTTGTTGGCCAAATACGTAGATGATCCTCATAATTTCTTCTGTGTGTCATCAGATTTTTGTCACTGGGGTTCTCGGTATGTTGAAGTCTATTTTCCTTATAAATTTCATCTTTGTTGAGAATGATGCACCCAAAACATGTCTTTTCATATCGCATATATACAAGCTACATTTTAGAGTATAGCTGTGGGCTAGTTACCTGAAACCTACCCCATCCCTGAACCACTAAAAAGGACTTGGTATATTTGTGATGTAGACTGTTAAGTTATCCTGGTTATTAAGTGTTACTTTTACTTCTGCCTTGACTTGCTACTCTTCAAAAATATCAGACACCAATCATTCAGCTGGTGAATGGGCGATGTTTATTCACTCTATACCTATCAAAAGTATATATACATTCTTTCTTTTAAAGAAATCTTTTTGTCGACGGTTTTAACTTTTATCTATGGTTCCATTCCATGATATGCACCAGCCAAGCTTGTTTTGGATAAATGTAGGGTATAGACTGATATGATTAAGGTTTTTTACATTGTGTCACAAATATTTAACTTTTGCTTTTGGTGTCAGGTTTAATTACATGCACTATGACAAGAAGTATGGGGCCATACACAAATCAATTGAGGCCTTAGACAAGACGGGCATGGATATAATAGAAACAGGAGATGCAGATGCGTTCAAACAATATTTGTTGGAGTATGACAATACCATCTGTGGACGCTATCCAATTAGTGTTTTCCTTCATGTAAGTGCCTCAAAGTGCTTGAAAGCTATCAAAAGGGCTTTGATAGAGGAAGCTTCCATCCCTTCAAAAAATACTCTTCAGCCTTTTTGCAAAATGGTTCTTTGAGTTCCTGATCTTTGATGGTCTTGCTTATCTTTGAATATTTCAGATGCTGAGGAACAGCTCAACAAAAATAAAGATAAAATTTCTCCGATATGAGCAATCAAGTCAATGCAAAACTATGAGAGACAGTAGTGTAAGTTATGCATCTGCAGCAGCAAAGGTGGATGCTTGAAGATGTAAAAAAAGAAAGTATTCTCACTGGAGTGAGAACTTCTGGCTATTTAAACTCGTTTGATTTGAATGTAATTTCTAACATAAGTACATGCATTTGCAAGACCCATTAAGTGGTGGCTTCCGTGTTCATAGATTAAGACTAATAACGGTACTTGTTTCCTCAAATTGTCGATTCGCTTCTGTTTGTTTGACTGTGAATTTGATGTGGATGCACTATTTGGGCAATGGCATAGCTTACATTTAGACATGATAATATGTGTATTTGTACATATTTAGACATTATAATTCGACTATTTGTATCATGTTTTTCTTGTATCAAATAGTATAAAATATAAAAAAATTATCATGTCAAATAGTGCCGTTATGTCAGACAAAATTTATATTTCCATTTGTTAAATTAATATACAATTTTTGTTAAAATTTTAATGCCTCATGTGAATTCATCAAATTTGCAAAATTATAAATATCTTTCACTTGATTTCTAATCATTTTCGAGCAAGCTGCTTGCAGTTGCAGACTCATTTTCACCCACAGACCATGTATTACCAGGTTTCTGAGGCTCAAAAACGATTATACCGCCGTCTGTCACTCCCGGAGAAAATTGGGTTGATTTCTGTGGATTTCCGGCTACAGCAAGAGGGTAATCTGCAGCTACCATCCGTTAAATTATAGTATATAATTATTATTTACGAAAGATTACTTAGAAATCAGATTGGAGGGAAAGGAATCTCAACAGGAAAACTTGGACATAACATGTATGTTTACAAATGGGAAAAGTCAAAATTTTTTTTGAGAATTTGCTGCATGCATGAACCAAGTGACATATGTACCTTACACTAGTAGGAAGATAAGAAGTGGAAAGGATGTGGCATTTTAGTTCAAGATCTGAGGCACCAAATATTGCCTCTGTTACATCTGGCTATCGCATGAGAATGTTGCTTGCGAGATTTTTGTGGAATCTTCTGGAACCCAATGCAAAAACAAAAGAGAAGATTGTTCTAATTTTATCATCAACAGCATCCTGACAAAGAAGAGAGCTTGGACGTGCAACTGGATGAGAGCGAGAGAGAGAGAAACCTTTTGTAGACATGCTAGTTCTTTGGCTTCATAAACAGAAAGCTGAGTGTGATGCACAGGGAGGAAGTATACTTGATCCAGAAGTAATTGGACCTGCGTATTTGAACCAACAGCTGGGATTCTCTCATCTGGCAACTGCAAGAGTTTGCTTTTACATTTCTCCCAGCCATTAAGATCCCAGTTGAAAATACGCAGTTAGAGAAAACACGATTATTGAGTTTTTGCGCAGCTTAAGAATAGGGTCCAGAGTTCAGACCTCAATTTACCAATGAGTTCTGAAAAGAACAAGACTGAGAGTGAGATATTTATAAAGGTCTCAGGTATTCATGCAGTAAAATATCAAATAACAACCTGAGCATCTGCTCCAGGAGAAGCAAGCACGTACGTTCATGGCATTAGAGAAAGCTAAGGCAGTGACTCTGCCAGAATGTCCAAAATTTCCCAAGCTAACCAGTTCAATAATAAATAATGGAGAAATAGAGGGTGATCAGAGTCTGGAATTAACATAAATGGATGTTTAATTTGTGGATTTTTAGATTTTTGGAAGAAAAAGTGATTTTTGGAGAAAACCAATATTAAAAGAGAATGGTGATTCTTTAAGAATTTTATATTTGGTTTTGATAAATTTAAGATAATCTAATAAAGGTTTTATTATATTGTCTCTATTAATGGATCTTGATATATAATTTAGAGGAAGCCAATTAATGATGTATAATATACTTTATTTTATTTTCTTTTAAGGCATATTTTACCGTACTTATTAATATATATATATATATATAGAGAGAGAGAGAGAGAGGCAAACAATATATTAATAAAAACATGATAAGAGTATAAAATTATAAAACAAAATATTACTATAACAATATTGTAGATATTTCAATTTGTCTAGGGGCTTATTTGGATTAATTTTATTATAAAAAATAATAAAAAACGAAAAAATGAAAAAAAATAATTGTGAAATTTGTATGAAATTGTACGAAGAGTTTAAGTTAAATTAAATTAAGAGAATAAAACTCAGAAGAATTGAAATCTTTTTTGATTTAGGATTCTCGAATTTAAAATTTTATAAATATATGTCCATACAAACCATACAAAAATACACAAACAAAAAATAAAAAAAAATATATAAAAAACCACAAAGGGAATTGGCGGGACTTGTTTGAGAGGTTTCAGAACCTATTGTTTGGCGTTGGTGTCGGTGAGGAAGTGAAGGCTGGAAGAATTTGGTGATTTATGTGTTGAAGATTGGAGCTAATAGTAGAGTTTCAAGGACTGTTGAAACGGGCATTATTTGGTTGTCTACAAGTTGGTTACCTTGCTATGAATAAGCCTCATTAATCGTGGAAGAAGTCTGACTATATCCATCACTAAATGGTGCAAAGTCATTCTATTTGTGGAAAATAGCTTTATGGAAGGGCCCACTTGATGCATATTGATACTGTTGTTACAAAGGATTCGTTTTATCCGGACCTTAAGCCGAGTCATCGAATCGTTTTTGGTGTTTGAAGTTTGAGTCACGTCGTGTCATTCGTTTTTGGTGTTTGAAGTTTTGAGTCACGTCGTGCCATTCTAGTTGAGTGGTTTTTTTTTTTTTTTTTTAATTTTTAATTTTATTTAGTTATTTATTTATGTGTTTGTTTGTTTTTAGTGTATTTTTTACATGATTAATTTTAGAAAAAGATAAAAAAATAAAAAATAAAAAAATATTTTTTTAAGAATAAATATTAATTATCTAATGATGAAATTTATAAAAATTTTAAATGATAAATTTTTATAAAATTCTTAGGTGAGAAATTTTATTTAAATTTATCCTAAATTATAAAATAATTTAGATAAAATTTCAATAACAATAATTAATATTTATTTTCAATCAAAAAAATAAAGAAAAAATAAAATAAAAATTTTAAAAAATACTAATTACCCAAGGATGTGATTTTTATAAATTTTAAATGGTAAATTTCTTAAGAAATCTTTAGATGAGAAATTTTTCTAAATTTATCCTACATGGTGAAATAATTTGGATGAAATTTCAATAAAAGTAATTATATTCTTTTTCAAATAAAAAATTTGATTGTAAATATTTGATAATTATCCAATGATGAGATTCTTAAAAATTTCAAATGATAATTTTTTTAAGAAATCTCTAGGTGAGAAAATTTCTTTAAATTTGTCTTAAATAGTAGAAAAATTTAAATAAAATTTCAAGAAAAATAATTGTCATATTATTTTCTTAAAAAAAAAAGAAATAAAAAGAATTTCTAAATGAGCCCAAATTGTGAAAAATTTAAAAATTAAAAAAAAATTCTAATTTGACCCAAACGGTGAAATAATTAGATATATTTTTGACAAAAACCAAACAAAAAAAATCTTTTCAATGACGGTATCTCTTTAAGGAAACAAATGGGATTATTGAATACTCTTGAGGTAAGAAAATATTTTTAAGAATTTTATTAGATTGATGGAAGAATCTTATGAATTATTTTCAATATTTAACATAAAAATTTAAAACCATTAGAATCAAACCCTATGATAAATTTAAAATAATATGGTATCATCCTTTAGATGAGCATATGTGGGTGCTATAACTTTCTCCACATATAATCAAACTCTCGAACCTTATTTTAGTTTGTAGACCCAAACCTATTCTTTTAGGGACCTTTAAGGACCCTTAGTCAAGTTTAAGAACTCCTTAAAATGATAGATTCTTTAGGTGACCAATCATACCTAGTAAAAAAAGATTGGTTGCGACTTCATTTGTTAAGTCTAGCTATAGATTTTCGAATCTATATGTTATGAAAAACATTATACTTTTAATCATAATATAATTTACAATTAACTATTGAATTACTAATTACATAGAATTTTTTTTTATTTTTTCATAATTTAAAAGCGAAATAAAAAATGAATAAATCAATCATTAAATATTTTATTAAAATAATAAAACTAAATATACTTCTAAAAGAATGAAGATAAAATTTTGAGACTAGAAGTTTGGTACTTTTTTTATCATTTTGTAAAGTAGTTCAAATATGATATTTTTGTTGAAAAAGAATTAAAACATGTGATAGAGATCAAAAGTAAAAATAAAAGTAAAAAACAATGAAGAAAAAGAGTTGTTAACAAATATAAATGTGATAATTTATAAGTAATAATTATTGGATACAATAAATAAATAAATATAAATGTGATTTGAACATTTCTTAAATTACAATGCATAAATTTAATTTATAACACAAAATAAAATTAACATTTTTTTATTAAAGGGCCAATTTAAATGTATTTAATACAAATATATATACATTAAAAGGGGTTTAAAAAATTTGGGGGGCCAATGCCCCTCAAGTTTCCATTAGGAATCACCTCTGATTGTCCTTGATAACATGACATATATGAAAATCTAAAAAAATAAGGCATGACATATAGTTATATTTAAATTATTTATTTAACATATTTATTTATTTAATGTGTAAATGATTTATCTAATATTTTGTCAAATTAATAAAAAATTAAAAATTAATAAAATTATATATATATATATCAAATAATACTTGCGTAAATAAAGGTTTTCAAAATATTTGTGTATATGCTTTGTTAAGTTGCATTGGGCCTAATTACTATTCTAACATTAATTGTCTCGCAAAACAAGCACGATGATAAACCTTTGCAATAAAGTCGATATGGGGTTGGAAGGGGATCATATTCCCAAAATAAATTTTATATGTAACTAGTTTTAAACCCATGCGATGCACATGTGTGCAATTATTTATATACAAAATTTAATTATAATATAACTAATAATCTTTATATAAGAAAAAATTTTTGATGTAAAATAAGTAAGAAAAAAAAATCTTAGATACTATTAAAGTTTAAATAAAATTTTTTTTTGAAAATTTATCATATTCATATCTAATTCAATAGTGATATTTAAATAAAATTTTAGAATATTTGATTTCAAACAACTAAAATTTACTTCACTTAAAATTAATTTTGTATACAAACTTTGTTCATAGGAAATTATTCTATAATTGGATAAGATGTTGGAAAGTTAAAATTTGATTTTTGTGAAATATTTTAGACTATTATGCAATATCGGAAATTAGGGTAACAAAAGTTAATTTTTGTATTCAATTCAAAAAATTAATTATCAAAGATTACTTACATCAATGAAAATTATTAAATATTATAGATACAATTTTGAAAAAATAAGACTAAAGAATCCATATTAATGTCAATAATATATATTTTTTAAATTTAACTTAACTATT